ACAATCATGTCAAGCCATATTGTTATTGAATTGCGGTGATGACAGACAACTATTTGGGCATCATGGACTTGTGTTTTGTTTTGGACATGTCATCTTCTTTGATCCAGACAAACATTCTGGTATATCATGGACATGTGGTCTGCTTTGATCCAGACAAACATTCTGCTATAACATGGACATGTGGTCTGCTTTGATCCAGACAAACATTCTGGTATATCATGGACATGTGGTCTGCTTTGATCCAGACAAACATTCTGGTATATCATGGACATGTGGTCTGCTTTGATCCAGACAAACATTCTGGTATATCATGGATATGTGGTCTGCTTTGATCCAGACAAACATTCTGCTATAACATGGACATGTGGTCTGCTTTGATCCAGACAAACATCCTGGTATATCATGGACATGTGGTCTGCTTTGATCCAGACAAACATTCTGCTATAATATGGACATGTGGTCTGCTTTGATCCAGACAAACATTCTGGTATATCATGGACATGTAGTCTGCTTTGATCCAGACAAACATTCTGGTATATCATGGACATGTAGTCTGCTTTGATCCAGATAAACATTCTGCTATAATATGGACATGTAGTCTGCTTTGATCCAGACAAACATTCTGCTATAACATGGACATGTAGTCTGCTTTGATCCAGACAAACATTCTGGTATATCATGGACATGTGGTCTGCTTTGATCCAGACAAACATCCTGGTATATCATGGATATGTGGTCTGCTTTGATCCACAAACAAACATCCTGGTATATCATGGACATGTGGTCTGCTTTGATCCAGACAAACATCCTGGTATATCATGGACATTTGGTCTGCTTTGATCCAGACAAACATTCTGGTATATCATGGATATGTGGTCTGCTTTGATCCAGACAAACATCCTGGTATATCATGGACATGTGGTCTGCTTTGATCCAGACAAACATTCTGGTATATCATGGATATGTGGTCTGCTTTGATCCAGACAAACATCCTGGTATATCATGGATATGTGGTCTGCTTTGATCCAGACAAACATCCTGGTATATCATGGATATGTGGTCTGCTTTGATCCAGACAAACATTCTGGCATAGCTTTCACACTAACAACCATATACAAGTATGGACAGTGTGGACCTGTGCTCAGACAACCATCCTAGTATAGCTGGGACTACTCTCTGCTTTGCCACAAACAAGCATCCCTGGGACCAATGCTCTATGTTCGCTCGTCACATTGAACACCTGGGTTCAAACACCTGGGTTCAAACAGATGGGTGCAATGTGTGAAGCCCATGTCTGGTGTTGACCTTTGTGTGACCTTTACAAGAACACTTTTATCAGCCTTTGAAAAACAAAGTTAAACATGAAAATGTACAGTGAAGGGCATTTTTTTAAACATAATGATTACTTTAGGTGCACAGCACCCAGACTTGAATCATTACCATTTGTAAATACACAAACTGCATTAAGACCTATCCATGTTTGTTGACCATACGCAAACAATTATATTCATACATTCTTCACCACTAAACCTACTGCACTCAGCCAACAAACATCTATTATAATACACATTCTGTATATGTTAGTCACCATGAGAGGAATTACACAACAAATTTATTTCTCTGAGTCAAGTTCAAAGATCACCACACTGCTAGCTCAAGTACCACGCTATTGAGGTGAGGACTGGGTAATTATTTATCAGAACTCTTGAGATTCCACAGCCTTGTTGAGGAACACCCGTAGCTACCATTGTGACCTAGCTGTGGCTTGTATGCGTAACTCACACAGGCTATTGTATTTTCAGGATCATAAAATGATCTATGAAAGTGTCAAAATAGTGCTTATTGTTTGATTGGTGTACATGATTTGTTTATGCCCGTTGCTAGGGGTGACCCCCTTTCTCAACCAATGTTGTGGCTTCAATTCAGTAATCACATTACATTTATGAGAAAATTATGTGAATGGTTTTGGATTGTATATTCAGGGGACATTTAAGCGTCCAGTGTTATATCTATATGAAAATGAATATAGCTTCAATAAGTTGTTTTGAATATTGCCATCACTGATGAAATTCAGTCTCTTTTAATTATGTAATGCATTCAAATTAGATGCACAGTTGATTAAAGCTGTATATATGTATAAGTCAGACGTCAACCCTGGCTATTGAGAAAAACAACTGGCTATTTAGATGTGCACACGCACACATGCACACACACACACACACACACACAAACAGAGAGAGAGAGAGAGATAACTGTTATGGCTTCCATATCTGTCATTTTGCATCTCAGTTAATGACAAAATATGAATATGATTTTGTTACTTAGCAAGAAACAACACCATACATATCATTGTTGGCTTTGTACTAGAGTAACGCTTAGTAACAAACAAACCCATTTATATTGAAAAGGAGCCCACGGCAGACCAGAGATACAGGAACCTGAGGAAATCTAGACTTGCTTCATTTAGGGCTTTAGCACTGCAGAGAGGACGAGGCAGTAGGGTAAATAATGTGGTTCAGGGACTGTGAGACAGACCAGCTTTGTACAAAAAAAAGCCTCAATATATTTCCCCGTTACCAGACTGCTGGTGATACGAGTTGCCAATGAGTATCACATGGTTACCATTTGTGGCTGATTACACGTCATGCTGTCAACCATTGGGTTTCCTGAACCAGTGTCAATCATACAGCCGATCATGATATAGCTTGAACATTGCTGGCTACAGCATACAACAACATTAACTCCAGTGTCAATCATACAGCTGATCATGATATAGCTTGAACATTGCTGGCTTCAGCATACAACAACATTAACTCCAGTGTAAGATAAAATGACAGTAATAAAAAAATATTGAATGGTAGTGATAGTCAAAACACATATGGAAAGAATCAGTACTTTGAAAAAATGTTTAAATATTGTAGGGTTCTTCTTTTCCAACAACCAACAACATATTTATTCCTAAGTCCACTGGCATTGATCTAAATTATTGGATATTTGTGTATGTATAGATAAAGGTGTTAAAATATCACGTTGACATCTTTATGATGTTCGGTTCACAAGTAATCCTGCTATCAGCTATTTCCTTATCCTTGTGTAAATTCAGCTGACAGATCAACACTGATTTACTGTGGGGTAGATATCCAGTTTCTTACCAGCCTTGATGTGCCTTTGTGTTTGTGACAACAGAGACATGTTAATCAAATAGGCTTAGTATGGTGCATATATAGCTATCTTTTCATGTTCTTTTCCTTAGTGGGAGATAGGTAAATGACACTTACAGGTAAATGACACTTTGTGAGAGTAAACTTGTCCAAAAATATCTGTAAAAATGTAATACAAGTTTTATGTTGATAGTTCAGTCTGTGAAAACAAACATGTTATCAGTTTGAAATTACTAGCCTTAGTGGTGATGTCAACTAAATATGTTATCTCATGATGATTCAAAATAGATTACTGCCAGTGAGGTAGCCGAGTGGTTAAAGCATTCGCTCATCAGACCCGGGTTCGAATCCCCACATGGGTATAATGTGTGAAGCCCATATCTGGTTTCCCCCGCCATGATATTGCTGTAATATTGCTAAAAACAGCATAAAACTATATTCACTCACTCTCTCCCAAGGGCCAGTGAGTTAGCCGAGTGGTTAAAGTGATCGGCTCATCACGCCGGGTTTGATTCCCCCATGGGTACAATGTGTGAAACCCATTTCTGGTGTCTCTCCACTGTGATATTGCTGGAATGTTGCTAAAAGTGGTGTCAAGCCTACTCACTCACTCAAAATGAATTTGCTTGGAATAGAAAGTAACCAAAGCTACTGAAAATAAAGGTGTAGTGAAATTTTAGACAAAAATTCTTTGTCTAGTTGTATCAAAATTTGAATTTAAGGCACTGAAAATAAACTCAGTGTTCAAAGCAGCTTTAAGACGAAAACTCACTCATCAAAACCTGCAAACCACTGGAATGAAACTTAGGGCACACCAACAAGATAGAAGTTGAAGGTGTCATTCTACTGAAAACTTGAAAAGCATAGAAACCAAGGTTCCATGAATATAGCACTATATTTTTATGAACCAATCACTGTAAGCATGAGCAATAATCCATGCACAGTGAGTCATAATCAACCAAATCCCTACCCTGGTCACCTGTTCATTTTCATCAAATCTTATTCTTTACGTCAGTGTATGAAATAAGCCAAAAACCCAGCCAGACATCAGGGCTGTTAACTTCAAAATCTTACAAGCCCAAAATGGATTTAACCACACCAGACAATCAGAAGAAAATAACTAATTTTTTACTCAGATGTATGGAACATGTTATTTATAATTTTGACCAGACCTTCGGGCTGGCTAGCTGTAAATTTAGACCGTCCGTCAGAAATCTAGACCGTGTCGGGCGGAAGGACGGGCTTTATTTCATACACTGTTACTTACATTGCAGGAAACCAGTCCTACCTGTGAATCCCATGGGTTTTCACTAAGGTCATAACATTTGTTTTACTAATAATATACCTGTGGAAATTCTGGGTTAGAATTTGTCCCCAGCTATCAATGCTGGTAGCAAGAAGCCGATAATTAGATATGATGGCCAGGTATGATACCTTTATTGATTGTGTTCTACTGTTGACAGTGGGTTCTTCATATGTGGCTGTGGGGTAGTATAGTGGTTAAAGTGTTCGCTCGTCAAGCCGAAGACCCGGGTTCAATTCCTCACATGGGTACAATGTGTGAAGCCCATTTCTGCTGTTACTGCAGCAAAGATATTGCCGTTGTAAAATAACACACTCACTCACTATTTTACTCACTCACTCACTCACTCACTCGACTGGTTTCTCACTACAGCATTAAACATAAAAACATGTATAGTCAACAGGACTTGTTGGAACAGATAGGAACGCCATTCAGACTGATAGTTAAACAGTTGACACTAGTGACTTTGTATTCAAGATGGAATGAGGATTACACATTTCAGTGTGAAACCATAAAAATGTAATGATATTCTCCAGATGAGCTTGAGCGAGAGATTCGTCGACTGCAACAAGAACATCTCCGCAGAATGTATGAACTACAACGTGAGATTGAGCGAATCCGTCAGGAGCACTATTTGCACTGTCACGAACACCATCACGAAGTTGTGGAGAGTCCAACCAAAGTGATCATCGCTCAGGCACCTCCTCCACCCCCGCAGATCATCCAGCAGGCCGCCCCACCCCCACAGATCATACAGCAACCACAGGTGGTACAACAACCTCAAGTAAGTGGGAGAAAAACAGGGCAGTCTTACATGATGCAAGCAGCGCATGATTCTTTCTTCAAAGGTTATATTCATCATTACATGTCATGAATATACAACGCCATTTAGAGAGTGGTCAAATGTAACATATGTTATATTTGGGATTACAATTTCTTTGTAAAGTACAGATTCTAGTGCTTTAGTTGGGTTGAGTCCCATTTGGGATTCGAACCCACACCCTCAGATTCAGGCACCTAATCACCAGCATGTCAGCCACCTAACCCGCTCAGCCACCATGGCTTCCACAAAAATGGAAGTAGGACAACTGGTAGTCTAGACTGCGGACTTTGTGTACACCTCTGAATGCGTGGGTTTGAATCCCATATGCGACTCAACCCAACAAAAGTACTAGAATCTGTACTTTACTGAGCAAGTGTAACCCCAAATATAACATATGTTACATTACATGTCGTCTTGAACTTTAAAATTCCGGGCTCGATTTAGTGCTTTGTTACATGCACTGGTGCAACCCAATATTACAAAGTGCAACCTAGTTATAAGTCTAACTTGCACCAGGTGCAAGTCAGTTTTTAAGTGGGTAAACTTCTGAACAAAACATCTAAATAATTCAATACCATATTTCAGTCATTACATATTGCAATAAAAACAGTGCAACTGGAATTTGGCTGGTGCAACTAGGTTTTTATCTTAGGTTGCACCTGGTGCAAGTAGGTTAACATCTCTTAAATCGAGCCCTGAAATTTGAACAGCACTGCACAGCACTTGAACGCACACAGTAACAGGTCAGCTTTTTGTGGTTTTGTCTTTTCAAGAATTTTTCATGATCAATGCCTGATTTAGGTCTTACCAGTGAGATTCCATTTACACTATTATTATTTGTTTATTTCTTTTTGGTATAATTTATTATTTATCTAATTTCTCTACACCACTACCTGGAGGGGGATATATTCTGTTTGGTTAAATTGTTACCATAACTACACGTACGATTGGTAAAGGTAGGCCAGTCTATTTAGTGGTACAAGCTAAATCAATTATAGTTTGTGACGCAGAATTACCTCCCTTGATCATGCCAGGATCTAATGATTTGGGGTTTATCCTGATAATGATCCCTTGTATATCAGCACCGTACTTGCAATCACCAAAATGGTAAACTATAGGCTTTCTTCCCACATAAAGCTGATCCTGTGTGATATCACTAAAATCATCTCATTCACTCACATTTGTCACAGTGAGATAGGGCACTGCATCATGTATGACTCCTATAGTTTGTGAAATATGTTGGTCATGTTGCATGTGTGACAAGTAGAAGTGCACCTTATTCACTTTAGATTCACCAGTAGCACAGTATACTGTGAGTTTACTAATATTTTTTCAGGAGACATACACTCTTGGAATGCTAATAAAATGTATTTGTATTTTGGCACTTGGTGTACAATATAACAAGATGTATTTATTTTTAAAGAAGATTGTTTATGTGGTTTGTATGAATGGTAATCTGTTGCCATCGATACCATCAAATTTAAATAAATAAAAAAATTAGACTTTCTCAGTTTGTGACAGGAGAATCTAAAAAATATATTTTTCTGAGGCCATTTGATATTAATTCATGTATTACTTAAAAATACATTCAAGTAGACTGAAGATTTTGTCACACTGACTGTTGTCAGAAACCATAGAACTTGAACCTTACTTGGATTAATCCAGTTATGTTTTCATATACAGTTTTTCAATCTTAACATTAGATTAAAAGTCTAATATGTACAGAAATTTTGTTTTACTTGTGACAAACTTAAAGGTAGACTGAGAGAGGAGGTGTTTTTTTTTTAAGAAATTCAGTTTTCGACAATAAAAAACTGAAGCCTTGAATTTTTCAATATTTCATGACTATTGGACTATTTATATTACCACCTATTTTTATAGTACAGTCATTCCACATCTGAATCAAAATTTGGTTTTCAATATGGCCACCATTGCAGCCATATTGAAAATGTTACTTTTGGCTGATTATTCAAATACATGCAAAAAATCTTATCCATATCCATAAGGAGTCTCTGCTACAAGCAGTTGACAACTTCATTTTAATTAGCATAAAGTGATCTTATTATTGTCAGTAAAATGAAGTTCTTATAATGATTTGAAAACAATAAAAAGTTGATTGAGTTATTTAAACATCATAGGGCAAATGCAGCTATTTCATCAAAATATTGTTTTAATTTTTGTCACCAGTACTAATGGAAGAAAATACCAATGTTAATGTGATCGGTAATTTTGAAATTTATTCAGAATGCATGAAACTCAATTTACGATAATCAGGAGCTTCATTACATCAGTCTATTGTCCGTGTATACCATCACAAATGAGAAAATTCTGATCAAAAGCCATGTTTGAAAGGGAGATAACTCATGTCAAGTCAAAGAAGGGAGCACTTCAGTCACACTAATCAGCATATTTCACAAGCATGTTTAATCCCACTTATTTCTTTCAACCATATCTTTCTTTCTCACATGTTTGTGCAATTTAGTTATGAGAATGTCTTCACTTAATTCAGTTGTGTGTACAGTCAAAGCATGTTCTTATTATTACTACTCGTCTCACATTTCCATAATGTCCCAATGTCCCTTTGTGACGAATGAAGTCTTACATAAGAAACATCACGTGTAGATCAGTTGATGTCAACTGTATGCTTTCTGTATCCAAACATTGCAGTGGCATTTACAGACTTCATTGTTTTGGCTGTGCATAACATGGGTTCATATTTATAGAATAACCGATCAGTTATGATGAATTACGGATTATATGTCCCCAAAAGTCAGTAAATTTTATGTTAGGCCAGATTAATCTTATTTCTTGTTTTACGGATTTTTGTCCTCAGAAAACCTAAAGGCAGGAGGGAAAAAAAATAAAAATAAAATCACCAGTCAAAGTAATATTCTTCTAAATACTCAAAGTATTTTACTTTTGGCAATTTATTAAATGTTTATGGGGCAAAAAACAATCTGAAAAAGAGTGTGTGTGTTTTAAAGTTTCCATAAGGATTTTTTTTGTTTTGAGCAGGAATTTTTTTTTTCCTTTTTTTTTTTCTTTTTCTTGAAAAAGTACGATAGACGGATCCGTAAAACAAGAAATAAGATTGGTCTGACCTTATGGGCTTTTTTATGGGATTTTATCATCATTTCATAATGAACAGACACTCTGTAATTCTGAGTTGCGAGTAGGTTATTCTATACATTACCAGGTACAGTAGGGTAGACTACTGGTTAAAGCGTAGCTCGTCACACCATAGACAATTTCAATTCCCTGCATGGGTACAATGTGAGAAGCCCATTGCTGGTGTTCCTCTCTGTGATATCACTGGGATATTGCTAAAAGTGGCATAAAAATTAACCTCACTCACTCTACATTATACCCAGTCAGTGCATTGTTGGAACAATGTTAAATTGTCCATATACAGTGGAAGCTCTCTAAACCGGCATTCCTTGGGGCCGCCAAAATATGCCGGTACAGAGGGCTACCGGTTTAGAGAACTTTTCCCTTTTCAACCTGAGAATGATCTTCCGTGTGCCGTAAAATACGACTGAACAACGTGTTGATAGTCATCATATTCGACGCTCACTTTGAACTGTTTGATGTCGTATCGTGTCTTCCAGCGTGCCAGCCAGCCATCTGATGCCTTAAACTCATTGACATTTAATTCTGAAGCAAACTGAATAGCTTTCTCTGTCAAAATAGGGCCAGGAATGGACATGTTTTTTTACTGCAAGCAGTCGAAAAACTTTCGTGCGTCAGTGTGTTAATTTTGTCAGATTTACTGTTTTCATTCACACGACAATTAATTTATGATACAAGTGACACGTGTCCCTCACCAATTTACCTCACCATACTGCTTTTATCAGGCAACATCAATGAGCCTAATGCCGATGGTAATCCACTGTGTTGTCAATACACGTTCAGCCCATCAACCAATCAACAGGAGAGCTGAGATGCCGGTTTAGAGAGCGTTAATTACTGTACAAACAGTCCATTGGGAGGTCTTTGCTGTGCCGAAATGCAGAGTAGACTGACGCCGGATTGTGTAAATGATCATAAATTAACTAGCTTCTGCCAGGACCAAATTCTAGTGCCAATATTGAGCACATGCCGGATTGGAGGGCTGCCGGTTTAGAGGGCTTACACTGTAGTCATCAACAGTGGGCAATGTCATCAACAGTTAGTTGCAGTTATGTATTGGTACAATGCGACTTTCATATGGACCACTATGCAAATACGTAACGTCAACACCAGAGAATAATCTCCTGATGATCTGCCAGATTAAATTTGATTTGGCGTAAAAGAAAGAATAGTGACAGGGAGAATGGATACAAAGATAGTTTGGGCATATCAAGTGAGTGAATGAGTATGGTTTTACGCCACTTTTAGCAATATTCCAGCAATATCATGGCAGGGGACACCAGAAATGGACTTCACACATTGTACCCATGTGGGGGAATTGAATATGGGTCTTCAGCGTGACGAGCAAACGCTTTAACCACTAGGCTACCCCACTTGGCCATATCAAGGTTAACAACTGATTACGTTTTGCCAGGTTTCAAAATGGTTTTTTCTAATGTCTGAATAGCAGGGGTCATGCAGACCCAAGAAAGTCCAGGCAAGTATAGAAGGTCTGGCAAGTCGAGATTTTCACAGTCTGAAAATGAAGAAAGTCTCTGGGATCCTTTTCATTACACATGTATTTTATTATTATAATTTAGGAATTGCTTTTTTCTGTAAAATATGTTCATTTCAGAGACTAGATGTTAGTCTATCAGTAGCACTAAGAGGAGACGTGACACTGGTGTATATTCTGGTCTTTCTGTTTCAGCAAAGATATATGGAGGTTGAGCAAGTGGTGCCTTATGACCAATAGTAAGTCAATATGTCCTATTTGCTTCAAACCAGGGTTCTATTTGGATACAAATTTTGGCTGATGTTAAACTGAAACTCTTCTAATGCAATCTGATTCTGTTTCAAACAGTAAAAATCATTTGTAAAATCGATTTATAAAAATTTCAAACCATGTCAGCAGTTAAATCCAAAAGAAATAGCTTGAAATAGCTTGATATTTGGGCTGGTTATGTTTTTGTAAATGTTGTTTAAAAAGATTCAAGTCATGTCCAGACAAGTCCTAAATAGAACCCTTACAAGTATTTGACATGTATATTGTTGAACCCATGTATCACCTCGCACTTAGCACATTGGTGTTATAACCTGACAAACCATTCTTCTCTGGGACTCGGAAGTCAAACATGTATAATTCTAACACCAGTCCTGTTAGATTACACTTGAAGGGTAATGATCCTCAACTTTCTAACTTAATTTTCAAATATATTTAATGAAATTAAATTCTTCTGAGCAAAGATTTATTAAAGAAAATACAGAGTCCCTGAACAAGTATATACAGTAAACTATGTTTATAACATAATGCTTATAACTGTTTGAGAGGCATTCTAGAAGTTGTAAGTAAAAGGAATGACTTCTTTATTGTACAATATTACAACATTATAATGTCGCTATTGTACAAAAAGGAAGTTTATCATCCATAAAGTCTTGTCATTCCTAATGCTTATCAGGGAGGACAAATAGAAGAAACTGTTGTTTGGTTCCGGGCCACTTTGTGTATATTTTAGCCCAAATGGGTATTACGAATTGCGTTTATATTAAACTGAAATTAGTGGTCCTTTTGAGATGGTTATAACCATAGTTTACTGTAGTGCAACAAAGGTCTGTAATCACCTGGATTGTTAAAACAAAGTGGGCTGTTAACATATTACATAGTTTATCAGGTTTGAAGGTTGACGTATCAGTATTGCTGTGATATCCATTAACTGAGTTCACCCACTTGCACTGTGCCCTCTCCTTGCTGCCAGCCTCACTCACTCATCTACTCTTGCCCTACAGTGTTGTCCATTCTGTTCCTGAGTTAATAAAAGCATTTGTGGATACAAACAATTGGTATTGTGTGAGTGATCTTCCTTTCTCTGGAAGCAATATGCTCAGAAAAGTCTAAACATTACATATTTTTCATGTCAAGTCAATATTACAGAAGATTTTGTTTTGACAAGAAATGCCAAAGATTTAAACTAACTACTGACAGTTTTATCATCTGGGACAAAGTCTGTTAATCCATTAATCGCATGCTGACTATATTGACTGGCAGAAAACACCACTCATTCACTCACTAACCTGTCAGAAACATTCTCTATGTTTATTAATGATCTTTGAAAGGATAAATAGAATAGAACCATATGTGGCATGGTGAATGTTTTTCCATGGTGTATATAATGGTTAGTCCTAACATCTGTCAATGTTGATACAGCCCTAAAGTATTCAGTGTGGGTGTTTCCTTCCACATTGACCTGACATGATGTGAAGTACTGATATACCCAACAGAATTAACCCTATTAACCATCACAAAGACTTGCGACACCCATATTATTTTGAAAATTATAATCTTCTTAAAGTTTAAATCTTGACGAGTTAAACAAAGGGTTCTTTTTAAGCTCATTCTGCTTAAAATTGTGGTGGCATGTTTGGCCCAGTTGTTCAAGGCGATGTAATTTGATGTGGAGAGTTATGTCCCCTAGGCCTGCCAGGAACCTGTGATTGTGGGCTCAAAATCCTTGTTCTTCCTGAGTATGGTTCTATGTTTGTCAGCGCCATACCTGTGGTGATGGGTTTCATCAATTGGTACATATCTAAGATCTGCTGTATTTCAAGCTTTTCTGGGTCGGTGGGGTAGCCTGGAGGTTAAAGTGTTCGCTCACCACGCCGAAGACCCACGTTCGATTCCCCACATGGATACAATGTGTGAAGCCCATTTCTAGTGTCCCCCACCGTGATATTGCTGGAATATTGCTAAAAGCGGCGTAAAACCAAACTCACTCACTCACTCTCTCAAGCTTTTCTTGACATGTCATAATATAGGTGGAATATTGTTAAAAGGGGCATTAAAACCAACTCACTCACGCACTCATTAAATTGTAAAAAGTAATCCTACATTGTTGATAATGATTGCATGCATGACAAAAGACCCAAGTCAGTAAATCTGAAGCTATAAAAGGTTAACTGTGTCACGAGATATTACTGTTATCATCATCATCATCATCACCATCACCATCATCAGTTACAAATCTCAGAAATAACTTCAAAGTTGAGGTATCACTCAAGGATTTTGTATATGTCATTATGGTTCTGTTCCTGAGGCAATAATTCCGAATGATAATGTTTCTAATAATAAAATAAAACCAGGAAGACAGATTCATGAATGCATCATCCTGCACTTGATTTTTGGGGTTGAAATATTCAGGAAACATCTACCAAATGTATTACTAGGGCTGTTACAATTCATTTGTGTATTTGGTGAATAGAACCAGATTCCTTCATTAATTCAGTTCATTATTCGCTATCACTAGAATCAAATATTCATTCATTTTTTTTAAAAAAGGAGTGTTTTTTGCATGAATTGTGAGACAAAGTGAGACATGCAAAATGGAATATATCCAAGCCAGTCAGGATTCATTTGACAGTTATGTGGTCACTGGTTCTTGTCATGACACCTGTGCAGATACAGGTTAGAGTTGATCTTCAATAACCCATACTTGTCGTAAGAGGCGATTAACGGGATCAGATGGTCAGGCGCTTACTGGATTGACACATGTCATGGTATCCCAATTGCATAGATCGATGTTCATGCTGTTGATCCCTGGATTGTCTGGTCAAGATCCGATTATTTACAGACCGCCGCCATATAGCTGGAATATTGCTGGGTGCAGCGTAAAACTGAACTCACTCGCTCACTCTTGTCATGAGAAATTAACACAGTCAACATCATCCAAATTTATATTTTGTTATCGTTTGACTGAAGTTAAAGAATAACATCAACTGGTGATGAGTGACGGTATTCAGGAAAAGGTATTCATACCCGTGACCCGGTATTGGCGATATGTATTGTATTTGCCTGATAGTGGATTCATTGCAGCCCTAGAGATAACTAAATAGGATTTACAATCTCGGATATTTATGAAATTTTATCGCGAACTTCCCCCCAGCTTGCATCTCATTAGAGTAAACTGATCGTGGTTACCAGTTTCAGCTATGGTCCCCGCATGAACTACGGCGGGGTGACTTCAGTCACGCCATTTCAGACCATGACGCCAATGCCCTCGCAAGTAGGACCCATGATGCCAATGGGTCAGTCGGTGCCCATAGGGGCACCCATGGGTGGCGTGCCCCAACAATCATGGGTCTCATCGCAAACACGCAGATTTGAATCCGAGGTTTCTTAAGATGTAAGTCACTCAGCCATTTGTTTATTTTCAAGACATTAAATTCCACAACTGACACAACAAACTAGTCGAAGAAATTATTTTTTTAAATTTGACTATTTTCAGTACCCGTGTTTACAATGTGTGAATGAGACTGGTGGAGTTGTAAGTATTTACTTTCATAACACTGAAGAGTTTTGAAGCAGTTGTGGAGTTTTCACAATTCTTCGGCTAGTTATTTTGTGTCAGTTATAGTAGAAAGTAGGAGAAGGTTGTCACAACAGGTAGTCAGTCAGACAATTATAGAACAGTTTCACCATATTGGAATCATTTGGGACAATTTGTTGAAAAAAACAAATGAAAAAAACATCTGAAAATATCAGTTGTGATGATCTCAATAATACCAGTGGTTTTACGTATAATAAATATCACATTTAGTATCCCCCATTTCAAATCACATTTACCCTTCTTGTCATATTTTCATTGAATCTGATTCCATTTCCCGTTTGAAGTAGAGAAAAGTGTTTTTGTTTCATATCTACAGCGTAATAATGGTCAGATAGATTTAAACCTAATGTAGATAACTTAGTGGACAAGTAGATCTTCTTGCTCTTAAGCTTAGCATGCTTTTCTCTCTCTATGCACATAGCATTTAGCATGTCAGTATGTTATATATGTGTCATTTTTATACTGGTAAAATGTAGCATTTATCTAATATTACTTTTTCACATTACCTATCAAACTGACATGATCAGTTTTGCAGTAAGAAGTTAATTTTTCTTAGGTATATTTGAAATTATCAATTTCCATGTCGAAATATATTCTCTGAATTAAATAATTCTAATTAAATATTGGGTATTTTTCTCAATGGAACACATTGATAATACAGTAATTCATGTTCTTAATATTGTGTGAATATTTTACCTTACATTTCAAGAGACATTTTTGCACTTTAAACCAAAAAGAAACAAGTAAAACACTCACCTTGTAGGACGCCATACAGAATTTGACCAAAATTCAATGTGTGACATATCACTAACAGTGTTGTAGCTAGTGGCCTAATCTTAATTATCTTTGTTGCAGTATGGGTATGGGGCAAACTGTGGGGCAAACTATGGGCCCTCTGATCAACCGAAATGTGACTCTACCTGCCATCCCATCCCAGTTGCCTGGAACTTATCAGCCTGCGCCAATGATGTGATGGAGAGGTTTACTGCTCCTGACGTATATAAAGGCCAACTCTTTTGTAGTTGTTTGGATTGCAGATTCACAGAAGTGGATCCAGGATTGGGGGGTGGAGGGGATTGTATCTTTTTAATTCGTCTTTTAAGTTGGGCTGGTGGGGAGGTTACTTGTCAAGTACTTCAATAAGACAGAGGCATTTTATTGTCATTTATTTGATTTTTAATTTTATTATGTTGTTTTTGAATAGGAGTGAGACAGTTCAGTTGTTCTGTCAGTCCAACCTTTGCTATGTCTGTGGCAGGGTTGATGACTTTATTGTTCTGTTATTGAAATGATGTGAAGAAACACCAAAATTCAATCTCTTTTCCACCATCACATTATGAAAATGAAACCAGTAAATTACTGATCCAACTAATG